ATATATATATTAGTAAATTATATTATTTCATAAATGAAAATTATTTACAAAAGAACACAAGAAAATTCAATCAAAACCTTAAATTTATTATTTAAACGATCACATGTGCAGTTTCTAATGGGAACATAAAATAAACAAAATAATAATATTAATTAAAAAAACACAGGTACCAGTAAATTTAAAGTCTATAAACAAAGAAATATTTAATTCAATTTAATTTTAATCAAATAAAATATAGAAACAAATTCTACATATAACAATAGTAAAGATACATTATAGAATAGAGTAATCATATACGATAATTACTGAATTCTGTGAAATTAGCAATTGGAGTTTTAATTATGAATTTTTGTTCCAAGTTAACTGTGCCCTGAACTACTTGCGAAAAATTAAGTTTTAAGATTCATAAAGTCATGTAGCATCATTATTATGCTTGCAGTCGCCTACGGGTAAGTTTATCATTGGAGACAATTATAGAAAGATTTAATACTGTCATAAAAGTTGCAAAATATATGGAGATGGACAATGATGTAGAAATGCATATGGGACCTGACATTCACAATTATCAAAAATTATATCAAGAGAAATAATTAAATTTTTAAAGTTGGTTTTGTAAAGTGTATTACCACTTACCGAATATTTTTTCTTTAAACAATACGTGAATAATTTGAGGTTAAAATTCTAACACTTCGACCATGGAAAAAAATATATTAAGATAATATATATAATATATTTTCTCTATGCCTCTTCTATCTTCAATTTACTTACACCATCTGAATTGTGTTGTGGGTGTTTATTAGTTCTCACTTCACTATGAGTCTCAAAAATTTATATCATATATAAATAGATCACACTGTATGCTTTAATTTGGTCTTTGAATGGCTTTCCTGGGATACGTAGATCCAGAGATGTGAGCATTTGAAAATAAGGTGTATGAGAACCAAATTTTGAGAAAATCAGCCTCAAAGATAAACTAAAATCTACAAATATTAAATGCTGTAGACTAAAGTTATATGCACAGACAACACTTTTATAATAAGAAAATTCACATAAAAAGTAAATTATAAAACATAAGTAATATATTATTCAAATTTTAACATTAAAATCAAAATTTGGTACAAATTTCAACTTTTACCTATTTTGGTGAATATCTCAAAATGACTTCACCAACAATGCATCTCATTCTGTGGTGGGTGAGACCTCAATTAAGATTTATCTGGTATAACCTATACATACTTAATGTTCAGTTCATAAAGATTTAGAATATCAACAACCTCAGTTTATACCAGCATTGCCAAATGCCATCACAAATTTGTCAGGTTACCTTAAATCCTAGAATGAGACCATTATGTTCAGTCGGAGGAACTTCTCCCCAGGACACAAGTATACTACTGGAGTTTAAGGCGACAGCTCCCACATCCACTGGCCCAGCACTTGGAACTGCAAAAAAGCAAAAAAAATAAACATTATTAATATGAATGTTATGCTTTGATTTAGTAGGTTTACTAGTTTTAGGGGTCTTTCTTTAAAAACTTCTTTAGCAAACCCACTGTTCGCCAATAAAGATGATTTCGAACAAAAATAAGTTTTTATGTTTGGCCAATTACTGCGCCCACCGTATCAGAAAAAAATAAAAATTTATTTACGCCTGCCGTTGATTTGAAATCTCCAGAATTAAGATATGTACATCTCTTCCTAATTATGTAAGTTTAAAGCATTTAACCATCTCATTACTACACTGTTTTCATTCTTCAATAAAATTCTATTTTTTATTTTCTCTTCCTTTAGTAAAATTATTTGCTAAAGAAAACAATTTTTTTCGCCCCCTCTTCTGACGATTTAAAAAAAAACCATAAGTTTGCTAAAAGAAGTTTTACTATATTCAAAAACATTTTAATTAAGTTTGGTCAGATTTAACATTTTCTTTCATGTCTTTTAATAATAGTTTTATGTATCTTTGTTTGTTTGAATTTGTTTAAATTTGACATTAACAACCAGCTGCAAATTACATGGCTCTTAACATAATAATAATAATAATAATAATAAACAGTACTATAGTATGGCTTTATGTGCAATAAGCTACACGATAGAAATAGATGCTATAGTAGTATTATTAATAAATATATTAATATTTAAATGCAGTAACCTCAATGCTGATTTATTAACTATGAGCACATAGACAAATATTGATGGGCAACCTTGGATAGCTACGTTACGCTTGAGTGACTTTCATATAGACTGTGCAGCATGGACCATGAAGGAAACTGCCGGTCATGCCCCAGTAATTAGCCAGCTACTAAAATCCGTAATTCTGCGATCGATGTGCCAAATTATTGATACCGTAAGGTCGAGGGATCAAATATTAATAAGTGGGGAATAATACATACTGTATAGACATGTTCAATTAGAGTGAAATTTGAATTTTTTATTTGTTATAACAAATTGTGTGAAATGACAAACTACAAAAATTTAGATTATGGTGCCAAAAAATTATAAAGTTGTTAACTGATTATTTATAGATAAAAAGTATGACTGCATAGCATTAAAATCAGAAGGCATTTTCTTATTGTTCATCTTATCTTTATATGCAAATCAGTGGTAAATACATAACCTCCTTGGGAATAAATATACCAAAATAGAGTATGCTAGCTTAAAGCTAGGTCTACACTTGCAAATTTTCTTTTTTTGACAAAAACTGTTGTACTCCAATATAAAGTCATGATGTGTCTATATATGGTCATGATGTGATGTCATCATGACCATATTAGGCATACCACATGTTTTCGTAAAATTGGCAATCTCGACATGAATTTGTAATGTATTTTGGATAGATATTTTATAAGTGATTCAACTTACCAGTATCACTTGTTCTCTGAGTCTGTGAGGGACTTTCAGGGCCATTCCCAATTTTGTTATACGCCAACACCTTAACCGTGTACGCTGTCCACTCTTGTAGGTCATTAATAAACCCTTCGCGTGCGTACGGATCTGGCAGATTATACTCGGATGGGGCGCTTGTGTTATCACTGGCTTCTCGCCAAAGAATTTTGTAGCCTAGAGCAATTCCATTCCACTGTTCATCAAGCAAAGGCTGTGAAAAAAAGAGTCAAAAGTTAAACTGTCAATAAAATCCTCAAATTTTTCATTCCGGTTGGGAGACTTTTACTCTGGCAAATAATGCCGAAAAATCTGACTTCGGGAAAACACCAAATTATATTTTTATATGTTAAAGCTTTAATACATTTTTTTTTAAATATTATGCTTCAATTGGATTGCAGAAAATGTAAATATTTTTGTAGTAAAATGTTCATATATCATCAAAAAAACAAATGGTTTTGAAGGGTTCCTTTTCAGATTACACCAGAATATTTTTAGTCATTTAATATCAATCAGCGTACGATACTATATTTCATTCTTATTGCTATTTTCTTGTGATGTCAGTAACCTCTAAAGTTGTCTCAATAATGATCATAACAGATCGTTTATATAAATACCACTGGGAAATATGTCTACAAAACAAATCGAAGACATACTGCTTAAATGCAATACTTCCGCTCCCTTGAGTTTGCCTTATATCCACGCCAGTTGTTAAATTACCCCTTAAATTGTCAAATGTCCCCATCATATGTCACATTTGTCCCTAGGTGGTTAAATGACAAAGCTCTTAGCTTGAATGATACATTAAGAGTTAGAATCTAATTCATTTATGGCTCTACCAGATTTCATTATATCGTGTTAAGGATTTACCAAGCTTGTTTAATGTTATTCTTGAGTGTGTGCAGTAAGTTTGTACGCTTTTAAGTATTATCATTATACACATCCTTATTCTATTATTATTTTATTTTATATTAATGTAATTGCTTTATACGTAATTAATTAATATACCCCTTTTATCTTCATCATTATCACTATTTATATGTGTATCTCTTTAAAAAAAATTTATAATGTTAGTTTTTATAAATTATACATATTATTGGAAATTGTTGGTGATTTTTACATTCAATTTTTAATTTTTATATTTTAATAACAACTTGGCTGCAGTTCTTGTATGTGTTTTATCTTTATGTGCATAAGGGACTTAAGCTACCCTTGACCATTGCTGTTTGGTCAAATAAATAAAATTATTAAAAAAATGAAATTAGAAATTTCATTTACTAATATTGTAACCACTCAAGAAATTATTATTATCCATACCCTTACTTATTCTTTTCACCAATATCTTCATTATTATTTTATTTTCCAATATTGTAACTGCTTTATAAGAACTTATTATTATCCATTATCTTCATTCCTATAAAATTTAATTTTTCTTCTTTATACCCCGTATCGTGTTCAGTAGATATTTACTGTTCTCCCATGGGGCTCAGTTATGACTGTAATGAATAAATGAACCCAGGACCCTAGGACTGAAAGCCAAGCATCTTATTATTATCATTATATTTTGCCTTATCGTAACTTCATAATTCACCGGTGTCGCAAAATATAAAACAGGAATTAAACACTCAATAATTAACAATTCAATCTTCAGAACATATAAACATAATTTGCTTAGAGATTTTCAATGACTGGAATTATAATTCTGATACATACCACCCATCGGACTCTTAGTGAGGTCTCACTGTACGACCTCACGACCACTCCTTGTGGATAAACTGATGGAACTGTGAAAAGACGAACAATAAAAATTAAATATTCCATTTTTATCTATTGTATTGTGGAAGGGCAGTGTCAAAAAATAAACCTTCCCCCTGTTGCCCCAATGAAATTTTCTGAAGCAAAAGAATCGCGCTCAAGTAGTTAATAATCAGATCATATCACCCTATTTTGCGGCCAGCCTATTTTCCCCTCCCCTCACTCATGTTCATCAAGACCCCTCTGCACCTTCGCACCCCCCACCAGCTCTACATTTCAAGACTCCCAGTTACGGATACAGTGTATTGGATAATGCTCTACTTCATCAGCGAACCGATAAAAAAAGAATCTAATAACGTCTATCTGACTTTAGGCGAGACGTTTTTTATACCTTGGTCAGCGAACTCGCCATCTGCCAACATGAAGATTTCTAATAAAAAATCTTAGTTTTGTCCAACTAGCCCACCTGCCGCCACGAAAATATGGAAATTTCATAAAAAATAAATGTTTTTCTTTATCTTTATTTCTTCATAATATAAATCTAAAGCATTTAACTATCCCATTACTACACTGTTTACCTCCAACAATAACACTTTATTTTTATTTTTTCTCTGTCTGGATAATTTTTGGCAAAACTATTTGCTAAATAAGAAAACATTTTATTTTTATTTTTTCCTGCCCTTCTATGACAATCTTTAAACAAAAAATACTTCCTATAAGAAATGCTCAAACATCTTTAACATATGAATTTCCAAACAAGGTATAAAAAAGGTCTCGTCTTAGAATTCCTGCATTATATTAGTGTAATCACAAGTTTTGAAAATTACTTAAAGGCTTATGACTTACTGTCCTGCTGGGTTTGTGTAAGAGTAGAGGGCTCACTAGGAGCACTGGAGTTAACAATGTTTGTTGCAATTATCCTGAAGCGATAGTTTGTGTATGGACTCAGGTTCGGGATGGTGTAGCCTGTGGACTCGGGATCGCTGTACTTGTAGATGACAACCCATTCCTGGCTGAAACCAATCTGGGCCTCGGTGGTCCACTCTCGAATGCTGGTCTTACCGTCGTAACCCTGAATGAACTGTATGTAGACTGATCTGGCTTGTACGTTGGAGATTGCCAAGTTCATTGGTGCTGTCGGAGGCTCTATGATGAAATAGATCAAATTGACAGGAAAACCAAACAAAATTGACAAATGAATGGATGCGATACCGTATATTCTGGCATTTGAAACAAGGCTTAAAATAGCAAATTACGATAAAAAAAATAGGCAGTCGTCTTAAATGCACGACTTACAAATTTGTTCGTCTTATGTGCGGATCACACGCAAATTTACTACTGTAATGGGGATACTAAATGTTTGTCTGAATGAACACAATTTTAAATACAGGAAAATAAGATTTTTTTTTTTTACTTTGAAAAAAAATGTCCCAAAGTCTTCTCGAACTCGGGGGTCATCTTACACGCAGGTCGCCTTATACGCCAGTATTATGGTAAGTATTCTACTACAAAATCACGCATCTGAACTCACCCGGAGGTACTCCAGACTTGATGGTTGCTGACGAGGGCTCTCCTTCTCCTACATCTGTCCAGGCAGTCACTGTGATCTCATATAGGGTTTCAGCGGTGAGACCTGTAATCTCTGCTTTGTTGGACGGTGGATTTACCTGACGATTCCTATTCCAAAAAGGATTGCTTACCTCCTCCCATTCAACCTTGTACGCTACAGAAAACAATCAAATCAAATATTATATATTTATGCGAACACCGTCGAATAAGGAATGAGGACTATTGTTAGGGAGATGGTTCATACGTGGCGCCCTGGGTCAGACTGTTCTATCCTTTTCGAAGGGGTGTTTCGTTTCTGGAAAATGGAAATTGGTCGGGTTATCCAGGTAAGTATTCACGAAATAGATTAATCATTGAATCAAATATTATATACTTGATATTAATAATAATATGTCCTCTAAGCGCTTCACATTATTACTCTGGTATGGAACACGTATGGAACATGATTTGCACAGCAAGAGTTTCGAACCCCCGACCTCAAGTTTGGGAGTCCAAGCCACAACCAATGCGCCAACCACTTCAACAAGTGCCACTGACAATTAGTAATTTGTAATTGATTAATTAAAATGTTTGAATGTAAATAAAGATGTCAATTTTTGATGTCAAAAGTTTGGTAAACAATAAACAAAATTTATCATCAGGTGTTATTAGATGTTGCGCATTTGAATGGCAATTTGCGTGGTGCACAAAATAGTAACGAGTGGTACAATTCAGCCACGGTAAAGTTACACATCAATCTTGGGTCAAAATAAAGTAATTATAAAACACTAATAAAACATGCTTAAATCAGCATGAAGGAAATATCCTATAGAGTACACATTGGTGTAAGTCATATTGCATTTTCAGCAAGGGTTCGTAATAAAAAAAAAAAAAGAAAAAGGTTCGTAATAAAAAAAAATAAATAAAAAAAATACATAAATAAAATGTGTTAAAATTGAAAAAAAAAAAAAATAAAAATAAAAATCAAATACCAAGACACAATTCAAACTCACGACGTTTGGTTCTTTAGTACACATTCTTAACCGACTAAGCCATCCATTTGATGTGCCCTATTAGTGGTAATGGAATGTACAGTCCTTGCTCAAACCCTTGTTTTGTTTTGTAGGTATAGGGGAAACCCTGGGGTCAAACTTAAAAAAATTACCTCTAGTTTATGTGTATGAAATTTCCTGCACGTCTGGTCAGAACTGTCGACGCTGCATGCTTTTTAAAGTTTGGTAACAACAGCAGTAAAATCTTCAATTATACTGAATTTTAACGAAGACTCTTAGCACAAGAAGACAAGTGGCTTAACCATTTTTTGTGGCCCAGAGCAATGCTAATTCTACCGCCACCATTTGCAAAAATCAAGAAACAATGTATCCAGCTTTGGTTGTACAGTGTTTAGCTTGTGCTTGACTGTGAGATCTGCTCCAAATTTTAGCATTTATCATGCTATTAAACTGAGCTATTTATAGCAAAGTACTATTTCGGAAAAGAATAAAGAACTCACTCTTAATGATGCCATTAGGCTCAGTTGGACGCAACCAGGATACAACCAAGGACGTGTCATACACATCAGTAAAAGACAAATCACCCACTGGACCAGGCGCTGAAAATATAAACAAAACAAACAAACTGAAAGTATGCCTCCAAAATCATCAGAAAAAGCTGCAAAGAATGGTAAGTCCAACGTCTAAACTATCAAATTTTATTTGACAAAAAAAACTGTTGTATGCCCATATATAGGCATGGTGTGCCTATATATGGTTGTGATGTGATGTCATCATGACCATATTTAGGCATGTCACGTGTTTCTGTCCAATCAAATTTGATAGTCTGGCTAAAGCTTTAAGCCATAATGATAATTAATCCTTATATTATTAATACTCCTTGTTTTTCACAATAATGAATATTCATCAATGATTGTACTTGGTTATCATTTTCAGGATTTTGGGATAAGAAGTAATTGTGAAATTCAGTGAAATATTAAATTCTCACAATCTTGTCTTTTAGCACTAGATAGTGAAGAACAGATTTTAATTGATTCTTTCTACAATATTTGGCAATGAAAATAAAGTGTCTAAAAACATTTTCCGTTCACACATTTTTCACATTCACAAATCACTAAACACGACGCTCTAACTATAAACTACGCTGATTTGTCCACATTATAAATATTTATGTGACAAATTCATGTAACTGGGCTTCAGCTATATGCATGTTATCTATGACAATTTATTCAATACTTTGAACACTCTGGCATCGAGCCAGTCAATATATACAACTGATTAAAATGACATCTTTTCACCAGGCAATACCTGTCTACTTTATAGATATAAATATTATACAGCAAAATGATTACGCTACACTGGCATGATGATGTCATATCACACACAAAAAAAAATCATAATTAATATGTTATATAAATCTCACAAAGTGGACAAAAGTTTAGTAAAATGAGTTGCTTTTAGATATGAAAATTTCTTCATTTTAAAGGGTATTTAAGCATGGTTTCCTTAAAATTACTACGCTGTCACTACAGTGTTTTCAGAGCAATCGTTCTATTGCGTAGCAGTGTCTGATCATCTTTACCGAAAGCTGTCGTGTATCAATTGCATGGAAACCAAACATACAGAGTCAACGCGTTACTGTTAATTGCAAAGACTTGAGCAGGTTTCCAAGATAAGCAAACGGTATCAATTTTTACACCAACTGGTTATATTTTTGTTAGCAACGGTATCTAGCGGATGCAATTCTAGTACCTACTGTAAGGACACAAACTTACTGTCTTGATCTGTCGTCACTCTGATCGCAGGACTGGCCGGCCCATCGCCAGGTGTTGTAAAGCACCTTACAGATACGTCGTACCTGGTGTATTTTTTCAGCGTAGTCAAATACCCAACTTGTAGGTCATTTGCAGTATCCACGGGAACCACAACTGTAGTCACTTCATCCTCCTGATTAACCGATCGGGCCTCCATCTAAGAAAACAAAATGGTGGACATTTTAATCTATTTATTTTATATCATTTTTCTATTTACCAAAGCTGTTTGTATAATATAATATATGAAGGTGAAAAATTTCTTTTTTTTCCCTATTTTTATTCATGCAGTATATCACTGTTGTTTAGAGAGTAATATAGAAACCTTAATCTAAGACTTAACAAAACATCAATTGAATATATTTGCATTATACTATTTACATTATTAAATGTGGATCCAGGAATTTGAAATACAGGGGGCCCAGGGAAGGACTTTTACAGACGGGGGAGGGTTCAATACTACCGAAGCCACACCATGGTTGGGGTTTAATAATTTTGAAAATTTAGAGGGTGGGGGAAGTGCTAGTAGCTCCCCACCCCCGAATCCGCCACTGATTACTGTAATTTTTTTGTATCAATTCTACTGTACCTTATAACCTTGGTTTATGCCGTTAAGAGTCTGCGGATGTGGTGCCTTCCATTCCACTTTAATCGCGGTCGAGTTCACTGCGTAGGCTACGACTTCTTGCGGTGCTTGCGTCGGAACTCCTTCCAATGTGCGCACTACTACTGGATTGCTGTAAGTCCCAATCCCGGCTCGGTTGAACCCCGCGATTTCGATCTCGTACACGGTCCATGTAATGAGGTCGGTCAACACGTACGACGTCTGCGTGCTGATGTTGACCATCGAATACGACTGGTCGTACCCTTGGAGGCGGTAGCGGATAGCATAGCCCCGAAGTTCTCCATTTAACGTGTTCATGGGTGGCTCCTTGAAAGAAGAAATATATATTAAACTTAAGTTCTTAGCGAAATGATGACACACACAAAACGAGGGCAGCAACCAGCCCAAAAGTTGCTGTGGGCTCCACGCGCCTACGGCAAAAAGGAAGGTGCAAGCACTCGATGGAGAATGTGAAGACCTATTCTTTTTTATGACGGTCCACAGGGACCCAATGTGTGTTATCATAATGTGAAAGTGAGTAACCCTTCGTGAGAGGGAAAAATGCTGACTTAAATAAATGATGATGATGATTATACAGTAATGACATATCATATATGAAAATATCCATTTGTACTTTAAAAAATATTCTACTTCGGTAACGAAGACAAATAGTCATCATTGTTTTGGTTACCCATGGGCGCATCTTATAGTACATTGTTTTGGGATACATGGCTAAAATTTTCATTTATGTCTTTTAAACATACATTGTTGATTTCCAATGCATTTTCATTGACAATAAGTGAGGGAGACACAGAGTTAGCCTGAGGTAAAGTTTACAAAGTGTCTTGCTCAATGGCACGTTGTAACTCTGGCATCGTTCTAAAACTTACGACCTCTCAATTCAGCCTGGCATCGTTCTAAAACTTACAACCTCTTGATTCAAATTCTGAAGACTCACCAATTCACTAAACTTCTACACACAACACACAATGGATATATCATTCACCATTTATTCTATGATTTTAATTTTCATAGAAATAGATGATGACCAAATTCATATTTGAAAATACAAAATTCAATACACAGGCCATAGACTCGAGGGAAATAATATGGTCACACATTAACAATTTCATTCCAAAATCAGCAATATTTATGCATTTCAAATCATCATATTATACACATACATAATGTGTACACTTTGATTTTGAATAGGAAGTTGAATACTAAGCAAAAACTTCAACACGAGAATATCTGAGCCCCAGTATTCAACCCTTGGCCTAACTCCAGCCCGCCAAAGAATTTGATCTTGCTTGGGCAACATGGCTAGACGAAAAAAAAAATTTTTCCGGTCGATTTTCAGTACTGAGAGAAAAAGTTTTTCTGTTATTATAGAAACATGATCACCTACTCCGGCATTGTGCTTTTTCTGAGCGTAGCTCACTGCTTTATCTAGTAGACTAATAGGGAATAGGATTAGGCCTAGGCCTAAGTGGGGGCACTGATGATATGATGGGATGTCTAACCATTTGCAGTGTTGCTGACATTGAAAAAAAAGACAATCACACTAACCAATGATGAAAATATTTTGATTTCTTACTGAATCAAAATGTATATATTAAAATTTATGTATTAAAATGGTATTAGAATGTATATTAAAACGTATGGTTTAAATTTCATGTATGAATATTGATTGCATGTATTAAAATTATAGATACACACTACGCACATTGCATAAAACTCAGCTTCTGTTCTCTAAAGAGTCTCTTTAGATTAGCAAAAAAATGAGTGAACAATGTGAAGTTAGGCCGATATTTATACACAGGAAAGCCAAGTTGAACATGACACTTCACTGCATTTGTGTTCTTTTCTCGTTTTTATCTAAATGCAGACCACACAGGTATAGGCCGGGCCTCTTGCTTACACTTAACTTAGTTAAAGCGCTGTCCAGATTATCAAATTTGGTTTGACAAAAACATGTGACATTCCTAAATATGGTCATGATGACATCACATCATGGCCATATATAGACACATCATGACTATATATGGGCATAGAAATTTTTTTTTTTTTTCAAAGAAAATTTGATAGCCTGGACAAAGCTGAAGTTACAGTAACTCAGTGAACATTTACTTGTATGAAGGACAAATGCTTGGGCGGATGCAGGATATGGTGATAGGGGGTGCGCGAGAGTCCACACCATCTCAGCCCCACTATGGCTGGGGCTGAGGTGTGAACATTTTGGACCTCTGGTGCCCAGAAATTGCATTCTCATACCAGATTTAATTTAATTTATTTTCATATCAACAATACAAAACAACAATTATTTTTAACACAATTAACATTGCACTGTCTGCAACCCCTCCTGTATTGGCCCCAGAAAAGCGTACACTGCTTGGGCTCACCCATTTATTTTTAGCAAAAAAAAATATTTTGAGAATTACATAATCAATACTAATAATAATGAACAAAAACAATAATAAAAAATAACAAAAATAAGCAGAATTCTGCAAAAGATGTGATACCTATGTGTGTTGTGATTTCATTTACAACCCCTTAACGTAATGTAATGCCTCAAAAAGGCTTATGCATGTCAGGTTGGTTTTGCTAGTTGAGGTTGTTTCGGCCTGGATCACTTTGGTTCAGAGACACAGACGCATAAAGAAATGTATAAGAAAAGGTCAAAGGCCAAACCTGTTGACAACAAAGATTACTACTTTACACAGTAATCAATAATAATATACAGCTTCTATATCATGCCTGTAATTATTATTGTTAGTCATTGATTACTATAATTTCAAGGTCTCTCGAAATTTAGAGATAATGCAAGGTAGTTGCTACGCTATATAATATTAATAATCATATAAAACCATAAGAGCCAAAAGAAAGACATCACAGGCGCCATCTACCACATCCCATGCCAAGGCGAAACTACTTCCGGCAAATGTAAGGATTCTTACATTGGGGAATCAGAAAGAACTCTGAAAACACGTTTCTTGGGAACATCGTAGACCTGGTTCAACTTCATCGGAAATCTCTCAACATATACACATTGAATCACCTGGACATCATGTGGACCTGGCACAGGTCAACATTCTTGACAGGGAACCAAGACACTTTGAATGAGATGTCAAAGAGGCAATTTATATCCGTGTGAACAAACCAATGCTGAACTGAGACGGGGGCCGACACAAACTGCCAAAGATCTACGATCCGATTTTAGAGTCACATGTTCGTAAGATCACATGCCTAAAATCGGTGTAGCCTTCAAGTCACATTCCAGTCATTGTGCTGAGGAAGACCGTGGCATACGGTCGAAAATTTCACGGTAAGGAAATTTTTTTGTGTCGTGAAAAGTTTAAACTTTTAGTACATTCAAATACCAACACAGATGAGCTATTTTTCGAACATATAAAACCATGTCTAGACTATAAAATAATATTTGATAAAAACATGTGACATGCAAATATGGTCATGATGACATCACATCACAACCACATTACAGGCACATCATGACTATATATGGGCATACAATAGTTTTTTATCGGGTAAAATTATAATTATAATTATAGGATACTTTAAAAAAAAAATCATTATTAGTCATGAAGAAATCTCACCTGCCATTCCATGCTAATTTCCGATGTAGACCGCGGAGATGCCACAACTCCTTGCGGGGGATCATCTGGCGCTGAAGAATAGAAGAAAAATCGCATGGTCCATTCAACATGAAAATTGAAGAAGGATGTTGGGGAATTTATCATGAGGAATTTAATACTAAATACGAATGCATTATGGGATTAGTTATGAATAATAAAAACCAGATACTTGCTAGGAATATTAATATAAATTATGTATTAAGAACCAAGTTATAATAAATAAGGAATAACATGATGGCAATCTAAGTAAACAGCACGTTTCTTGTGATTTCGTTTTTTAAAACTTACGTTCTTCTGGAAGAGAAACCAGGTTGCTCTCCGAACTTGTAGTTCCTGCCCCGACGCCATTCACGGGCGTTACGCGATACAAGTAACTATGCGAGGGTCTCACGCTGGTCACTTGTAGTGAGGTAGTACTTGGAGCCACATTCGTTAAGATAGTTTTAAAGGCATTTGCTGAAATTTGAAAAAAAAAAAAATTATTTAAAATACAATATTGATATCTTGATATTAACAAAATATAATTTTCATTCTTGCAATGTTTTATTTGGTAAATTGCATATTATATGCATTAAGAAACATTTCGATTTACCATGGTTTACATTTAGCAATGAAATAATTTGTACAGGAATCATGTATCTTTTTTAACAGGACTTAATTGGTGATGTTCTCTTGTAAATTTTACTACGAGGCTTAGGGTGTGGAGTCGGTTTCATAGACATGCCGAAAAATCCCGCTGTTTGAAAGATTTCTTTAATCGTCCTGCGGTAGAACACCGCGGCTCCTTGGGATGTATTCAACCACACAGCAGGTAGTAATCAGCCTACTGCGGCACTAAGACATACCCATGTATACTCCTTGGTAGGGAAAGACAATGAGGATAAATAGATATACAAGTGGTCAGTATCTGATTCGAACCCACGGTGTAGCAGTAAAGCCTGAGGCTTTACTGCTACACCGTAGGCTTCCACCACAATAAAAAGCTATCCTCTCATGTAATCAGTTAGAGAACTTTACACCATTAAGTCTTGGATTGCAAAGTGAAATACGTAATAAAGAAATGATTCATGCATCTCATTACTAATAAATCAACGAACATCATTTAAATATCCGAGATAATACTGTGATGTGATTTATTTTCTATACTCACAATCTTCTTTTTGTTCAACAATGTATCGTGTAAGTGGACTGTTGCCATCGAATCCTGGAGACCAGGTTAGCAAGATAGTTCTGGTGTTGGTACTACTCAGCGCAGCCACAAGATTCATCGGCGCGTACGGTAATTCTATTAATAATACAACGTTTATAGCATTCGTTTAATAATAAAAACATTTAAGACAAATGAAGACAGCACTTTAGACTAAGTTCTTATAACACATGATTTATGCACCACTGTGGCTACTTAATGTGTTTCATACATGGTATATGCCGTGTGATATATCACTTACAGAAGTCATTTTCGTGGAAGAATATTCATTTATTTTTCAAAGGTAACAAAATTTTTCTTTTTTCTAGGCAAATGATTGTTGATGACCACACTCGCGCAAATCTATAAATGCCATGCTAAAACCAGACACAGATATTTATTATTTATTAAGATGTTAGAATTTCTGCAGAATTCTAAGCTCTGTCCAAGCTATGAAACTTTATGTGACAAATTTGTGTGATGTTCCCATATATGGTCATGATGTCATATTACACCCAAATATGGGCACATCACATTTATTTGTCACTAATATTTGATAGAGTGGACAGAGCTTTAGAAGTATTTTGCTTCAAAAATGAGTGTGATGCACCCATATATGGTTATGATGTTCCCATATATGGTCATTATATTCCCATATATGGTCATGATGTTCCACATATGGTCATGATGTTCCACATATGGTCATGATGTTTCCATATATGGGCATGATGTTCCCATATATGGTCATGATGTTGTCACGTTACATCCAGATTTGGACCTGGGCTTCTTTTCGAGATGGGCTTCTTCTAAAGGCTACTTTTGCAATTCAAAGAGGGGGGTGGGGGCTTCTTTTCAAAATGAATGCTGTAAATTTTAGGAATTACTACTACACAACAATAAATACAGCCACTGTTACATCAGTCTGTATCATGGAGTGCATTAACCGGCATTAAACCACCTAAACTACTGTATAAGCACGTTTAATTTATTTTGTTTGTTTGAAATTTAAGTATACTGTGTATGTACTATAATACCTCAAAAATTGGCCTATGCTATCTTGAAATGGGCTTCTTTTCGAGGCTACTTTTGAAAAATAAAGAGTTGGGCTTCAATTCACGATGAAGCCCATTGGGCTTCAATTCAACGTTTTACAGTATTGTAATACAGTAGAACCCCTCATTTATGTACGGGCCCAAAGGTGTTCGTAAAAATCATTCGTACGTAAAATCGGGGTTGTGTGAAATTCCTATGTATTTACTCTACCGATATGCTAGGCTGGGCTAGGCTAGGCCTGAACTTAAATTTTTTGGACTGGAGCCAAAACTCCAACTTGCGCTTGAAAGAAATTCAAAATAATGATCATAATAATGTACAGTACTATACATACTTGTTAATGTGTATAGAAAATTTATTCTCTCTTTCTCAGGCAATAATATATGACTTATCTTCTAGCTTAATACGAAGAAACACAGCCCAGCGGGCGCCGCAACAGGGCGAGTAACCAACGTTTTTCACTCGATCCATTTGGTTGTGGCGTCATGTAAATACCCTGTACAGAATAACCTGGAAACCAGGGGTTCTCAACTTTTTAAAAGAAGAGCGCTGATTGGCTGTAGACACGGCGCTTGGACTTTTTTTTTTGTATGCAATACGATTGTTCTACGCCTGCATTTATTAAATGAATAATAACTGTCTCTTATACACATCTAGATGTGTATAAGAGACAGGGCTTAGGGTGTGGAGTTGTTTTTAGTCGTGAAAAAAACCCAGGACCCTGAGATTAAGAGGCAAGCATCTTTACCACTAAGCTATTCAAATTAGACTATAAAACCTGGTGCCCATAAAACAGCTATTGTGGTGCATTGGTACAATTTAGCCAAATGAAAGTCCTCCTTATCTTGGTGAAATTTAGGCCTTCGCAGACATGGTTTGGTTGCTTGCATAGCCTCTTATTTTTATATAATTGATAATTCTCATATTTCTCTATCAGGCATTTTTGTCTAACCTGTGCAAGTTATGTTTGTGTTACCAACATAAAGAAAAGGTTTTTTGTTAATGAATTTTGAACAAGAAACTATATTGTTTTACACTTTTAAATGTTAAAATTTTACACTATTAAAATATTTAAATTGTTTTTATT